AATGTTTCTATAAGACATCAGGTAGGCAAAGGCTGTTCTAGTGACTTGAGGTGATTTTGGAAGATGTTACTGTAAAACCAGGTAGTTATTGGGCTTCAAACTTGCAACTGAAATCCTTTGAGGGAGTCCAGTTTGTGGAGTGTAGGGAAAACAGATGTTTCCGTCTTGCTCATATTGTGTAGTATCTGAAGGAGAGGAAAGTTGGTGGTATCTCCTACTTTGGGCAAACAACAATTCCTTCTTCAACTTCAAGCAAAATGCTTCCCTTACATCTGTTGGCTAAACCCAGACAATAATTTTGGATTGGTGGTCTTCTGAATTTGCAACTCATTCCCTTCATGTCTGCAAAGGATCTTTTTCCACTTACATATCATTTGGCTTTATTCATGTCCTCTTGCCTCTCTGGAGAGAAGAGTTAAAATGAAGAAGGAAACCAAATATTAATTTTCCCTTAAAAGAATGGGTTTGTTACTTTTGAAATCCTTGTTGCTATGAAATTGGCCAGAGAGAGAATGACTGTTCCCTTTCTTGAAAATAGAACAGACAAAAATTCTGATCTCTCTCTCCCTCTTTCTCTCTCTCTCTCTCCATGCAATCCTTTATTAGGGGGGGAAGGAGGAGAAGGGAAACGATGTTATCGGAGGAGCTCTATCTTCTTGGCTCTAGGTACAACAGGAAGCGGATGTGAAGTCCTGTGCGGTGTCCTCTCCTTCCCCTGTCTCTATGGTTCTCGGTGTTGGCGCCGGGAGGCGGGAGGGAGGCGCGAGGGTGCATTTCTCTGCCTTCGGGACCTCTTGGGAGGAGGTGGGCGATCCGGAGGGTGTGTGTGCGCGTGTGTGTTTGTGTATGTGTGTGTGTGGAGGGGTTTGGAAGAGCTAAAAAGAGATGGCAGGCGGGGGGGGGAGATTTCCAAAAAAAGAGAAATTAAATCTCCACTCCTGGGGGGGAGAGAAGAGGGAAATCTCCTCCCTTCCCCCTGGGTCTGCTTTGCAGGAAACAATGACCTTGGAAGGCTGGCCTTTTTCTTTCTGGGTCTTCTCCTTGGGGACCTAGGAAGGAGAGAGAGATGGGATGTGTGCGTTGGGGGATCCAGATCCTCCCCCCCCCACATGCCCCTTCCCATCAAGGTCCCCTATGTGCGTGTGGAGGGGTTGGGAATCGCATGGTCCTCCGCTTTCCTGCGAGGAGACCTCCCTCCTTCCCCCAAATCCTGCCTGTGTGGGGTGGGTGGCAAAGGGGGCTGGAGAGGAAGGGCTAGCCTCTGGGGGGGGCCTCCAGCCAAAGGCTCGAGGT